GTCTCCGGGTAAAACAAATTTACTTAAACAATTTTTAAAGCATATTCAAATTACTTTTAATTCTTTTAATTTCATGATGGGTATCAAAATCATCGTCTCATTACGCACAATCTGAATCTGGAATTTGTTTTATTGTTCCCTTTTACTTTGGTAAAATAAAAATTTCCTCAAAAACTTGTCACGGTTGTGAAAGAAATAACACCTGCAGTGTGGATACGGTCGTACTGCGACAGAATAAACAGTGTGTAGTGTCAGTCAAAAGAACAATAGGTGTCTGGTCTGTGTACCCAGAGTCACTGGTCAACTATCAACAGATCGGAAGTACTCTCACAACCGTCACAGTTTTGAGGAACATTTTCTATTTTTTTTTTTTACCAAAGTAAAAGAAGCAATAAAACAAATTCCGAATTCAGATTGTGTGTAATAAGACAATTATTTTGATACCCATCATGAAATTAAAAGAATTAGAAGAAATGTGAATATGCTTAAAAGATACTTTGAAGTATATTTTGTTTTACCTTACGACTGTTCATGCGAAACTCACAAATAAATTGAATAAAATGGAATTAATTAATTAATTAAAATAAAATGACTTAAAATCTAAATAAATATATAATATTAATCAATTAATTACTAATTCAATAAGGAAAATATATCTAATAAAATATATATGAATAGATTAAATTAATAAATTAGTCAATAAATAAATAAAACAAATAAAAAAAAAATTGGATATATAGATTAACATATAAATAAATATAGATATGTTTACTTGCCATTCATGGCAAGACGCAATAAATTTGTAATTCATTCTTTTTCAAAATAATTGGCATTTATTCTCCTTAAAATTTATCTAAAAGGTACATGTACTAAACTAAAACAATCAAATACAATCATATTAAGAAATAAATTACTAAAGATATTAAATCAAATAACAATTGACTAAGTATATATTTTCACAAAACTTAAGAATTGCCAAGAGTAACGTTTTTTCCACAAGTAAATAGCATCAAAAACATATTTTAACCCCTTTTCTGGGTCAAAATGAATGTCAGGGGACGACAGGGAATTGACAGGGTGGTCAGGGGCTTAGTCAGGGGACATCAAGGAGTTGACAGGGACGTCAGGGAATGTCAGGGGACATCAGGGGTTAGACAGTGGTAACAGGGGCAAAGACAGGGGACGCCAGGGAGTAGACAGGGTAGTCAGGGACAGACAGGGGAACGTCAGGGGATTTTATTGGAATCTAAGGGGAAAATCATTACAGTAGTGAGTTTATGGAATCTTTCACCATCTTTTCTAAGTTTCTGTCTCTTTCCTGAACATCTTCCATAGCTACTCTGTTTTCGTCAAATGTATATGATGCATTTTCTCTTATGACATTCCATACTATCCATCCTAGTCGTGTCCTTGTTGCATGGGGAGAACCACTTGGCCCAGCAATTACTTCGAATGAAGAGTAGGCATCTGGAATATTATTTTCAATCATAATTCCAATTTCTGCATCTATTTCTGATGTTTGAATTGTTGACAGATATGGGAACTGTTTTAACTCTTGCTGCGTTGGAATGTGTTCTTTTGATACAGGCATATGTTCCTTTGTATACACATTCGGTAGATCAATCACATGTTCCATTGAAATTCCACAACTTGCAAACCACTGATAACATACGTGTTCAATCTCTGAGAATTCCCCATTGTCTTTATGGTGATTTGTTTCTTCTTGCCATTTGCTCCAAGTCTATGCATTATGTTTTCTGTACAAAATGACACACTGCTGCCAGAGTCAAAGAATGCATATGGTTCTATGCTACACGGTTTATCTTTCAGTTTTACTCTTACTGGAATTATTGCCATAGCACAGGTTGTTTCTCCGGCCCTTTTATCACTAAAGGCACTGATGTGAGGTTTACAGAACTTGCCTGTAGTTTTGACATCTGTTGACATAAGATTACTGTTTTCTTTGTCTTCATCTGAATATTTTACTACACATTTCGCAGGATCATATAGGATCGTAGGGTGACGCCTGCTGCATATGGAACACTTAAGTCTTGCTTGGCACTTTTTAGTTATGTGGCCTTTCCTAAGACATCCATAACACTGTCCATTATTTCACAGGAAGTTGTTTCTGTCCTGAAGTCCTTTGGTTACAAACTTCTTGCAGTCATTCAGTGCATGGGTACTACTTTCACAGAATTCACATTTCTGTTCTCGTACGTTAAAGTCTTGTTCTTCACTTGTAACACCAGTAGAAGCAACAGCTCTCTTCTGGTTACGATTTTGATTTCTGGAATTTCCACCAATAGATGCATTACCATACGTAGGATCATTCGATTTCTTAGCTTCTGTTTTTACAAAACTTACAAAATTTTTAAACCTCACTGTCTTCTTGGCTTCTTTAGTTTTCAGTACAATATTTCTCCACCTATCATGCATATACACAGGAAGTTTTGTCATAAGTCTCTTTATGTTGTCTGAATAATCTAAGACAGAAACACTATCGATGTTTTCAGCTGCGTTCTGACACTCCACAAGGAACAAGGAGAACTCATCTAGCATCTTTGCATCCTTTGCTGCTGGCCAGTCTAATGCCTTCTTTATGAATGCTGTTGCAATTACCTCACTGTCTCCGTACCTCTTTTCAAGCTGATTCATAGCTGCTTTGTAGGTTCTGTCTCCTGACATATGACTAAATCCAGACACTACTCTGTTTGCTTCCCTAAAAGTCATTTGTTCAAGATAATTCATCCGTCCATCATTGTCTTTAGTATTCATTACTACTTGGGTATTAAACTGTCTGACGAAACGTCTAAATTCTAACGGATTGCCTCCAAATTTCTTTATCTCTGGTACAGGTTTCCTGAGGTATTGTACAACACACTGCATAGCATCAGATTCAGAGGTCTGTGGTTTTGTTTCATCAAGGCAATGAAGGTCAAGTGGTGGATTTTCTTCACGTTTGGGTATGAATGTCTCTGCATTCGGATTCAGAGGCCTCTCAAACAAGGACGGTACTGATGCAAACTCACTAGGAAACAAAGGCGTTCTTGGCGTTGGTTTTGGTGCTAATGTTCTAGGATTCACTACATCAATGTTAGAAACATCATCATGCAAATCAACATCACAACAACTTTTATATTTCTAAAGAACTTCTGTTTTAGCATTCGGAATAGCAATATTTGTATTCAAGTCTAACTCTTCTTCTTCAAGTATTAGTTTTTACTTTCGCTATCTCTAACTTCTTCTTATGGGAAATTGCTGCTTTGCGAGCTTCTAACTCTGCTACTCTTTGTTCTTCTTCAAGGCGTTTGGATGATATCCTTGTAGCTATAGATGTGCGATACTTGGACTTTAAGCTTCTAACAGTTTCATTTGTTGCTTCTACTTGTGATTCCTCCTTTAAACTCTGGTGGTAGGAAAAGAACTCCTCTATTTCTTTCTTAAAGTTCATGATAAACACATCGTAATCATAATGAGTCTTAAGCAATTCTTCTCTCCTCCGGATCCTTGTCAGTTAATTGAGAGACAAGTTCATCAAATATAACAAGAAAACGCTCATAATACTCAAGCCATGCAGCATACTTTCTTCTTACTGTTTCTGGAGATTCATTATCAGAAATAATCTGTCTTATCACATCACTTGTTATCTTCAGTGTTATAAATGTTTTATTGTATTGTAAATGTTTATATACCTTTCCTTTGTCTGTTAATTTTCTGTTTCGTGTTCCGGATCCTGTTTCTTATGCTCATAACCTGGATCGTTCATGGAATCACGTCAATGTTGTAGTGTTCTCTTGTACCAACGACACAGGTTCAATTCTATGTTTTTATTAACATGGACACATTCTGGCATTGTATAACAAAGTTTTCTCTCTGACATAGTATGACAAAGTCCCTGTTTCTGACATAGATTGACTACAAATGAAATGGAAATATAATAAGTACTTGTACTCAATACAGAATATACATATAATGCAACTTTTTATCAATTTAAATCATGACACAAAAAGTGCTCCTTATATTTAAATGTGTAAACAGCGGTAATATAACGAATTCCTATTCAAATTCAATGTAACAAGTAAATGCATATAGCAGACAGTATGTAATAAGTAATACAAATATAATTACCGTGATTTATGTCTGGTACTTTCAGCTAGAAGACAACAAACTACTGCACTCACTGATCTGAATATGGCGCTCGTGCATTTCTCAACATTTGATAAGCGTATAATTCTGATAAAATTGGAATGGACAGAAATCGAAACTTACGGACAAAATTGGAATTCAGAATAAAATATACAGATTGTCCATTACAGGCTATATTGAATATATAGTGAAAATGGATTATTTCTTTGAAAATCTCCTTCTCTGCTCCCTGGCATCTAGGGGGCAAACAGAGTATATAAAGTTGCAATTAACAGGGGTGTTTTTACCAGATTTTGAAATTCTGTACCTACTGAAAGAAGTCATTCCTCTTTGCTAATCATCTATGATATTTAATCACTCTAAATAATTTGACTAATAGATCAATTGAATGACAGATTTACATAAGAATTATTATAATATTTAGTATAAAAAGTACTTTCATAGTTTTTAATGGTCAGGTAGACTTTTAAATAATAGATAAATGAAAATGTTACAAAAATACCGCATATTTGTACATTAAATAATCTTCAAAGACTAATAGAGGCCAATGTGGGGGGGAATGAAATGTGTTAACTGATAGTCCCTAGAACTATTGTTTTGTTTAGTCCGCATGAGGATAGTGACAAATGGGGGGATACACGCAAATAAATAGATCACTAAGTACTAAACTAATATTTTTGCTGATCCCTGATCATCCTATTTTCTAGCTTTTGGGCAACAAAGCTTCATTTATCAGCTTAATTGTTTTAATCTGTGGATCGTTACATTTAACTCAGGTGAGCGGGCCTCTTGTTTATATGTTACTTACTAATTGTGTTATTAATGAAGTTGTTGATTTTTTTACTTTGTTCTAGTGCTGGGATAGGGAGAACGGGGACGTTTATTGCCTTTGACGTGTTGTCTAGATATGGCAAGGACAAGGGCAAGGTCAATGTCATAGAGTATGTCAAGGCCATGCGTAAAGACAGAATGACAATGATACAGAATGTGGTATGTTAAATACGTTATTTTTCTTCTCATACATAAAAATGTGTGTGTGTGTGTGTGTGTGTGTGTGTGTGTGTGTGTGTGTGTGTGTGTGTGTGTGAGAGAGAGAGAGAGAGAGAGAGAGAGAGAGAGAGAGAGAGAGAGAGGAATGCAATTATTAAAAAAATAATAATAATTGTATGAATTTAGTCATCTCATTAAATGCAGTTTAAACATAAATATACGAGAAAATGTTGATTAAACAATTAAAATTATTTTCAGGACCAGTACGTGTTTCTATATCACGCATTGCATGAGTTCTTTAGAGGAAAGGCGCACTATAAAAAGGGAGATGAAATTCTCAGTCTGTATGGAGATATGAACAAACTAGATGCACAGAAACAACTTACTAATGAGTTCAACGTAAGAATCTAGTTTAAAGTAGATAATTACAAATATTTGTGTGTGTTATATTTTTTCCTGTTTCGATGGATAAAACTTTACTATAAATGGTCCTCATTTTAGAAAGGATAAGATTTTCAAATAATAAAATGTTACATTGATAAAATCATATAATTGTGCAAGCAGGTAATAATATGAATTATCTATCACATTTTGAATTTTCTACAGGAACTGATTAGTTTAAAACCAAGATTTGATTCCAAAGATTTCAAAACTGGAAAAACGTTTTTAAAGTTGAATATGACCAAATCAGTTTTACCAGGTATTTAATTTTCTGAAATTCTTTTTCTGATGTTCTACTTTATGAGCATGTCACTAATTATAATTTGTAATGTTTTTCTAAATTTTTTAGCTCACCTGAGCCGAAGGCTGAAGTGAGCTTTTCTGATCGAAATTTATCTGTTGTCTGTCGTCGTTGTCGTAATTGTCGTTGTCGTAAACTTTTCACATTTTCATCTTCTTCTCAAGAACCGACGGGCCAATTTCAACCAAAGTTGCCACAAAGTATTCTTGGGTTAAGGGGATTCAAATTTGTTCATCTGAAGGGTCACGCCTTCTCCAAGGGGAGATAATTTTGAAATCGTGAATATTTAGTGGCATCATTTAAAAATCTTCTTCTCGAGATCCAATGTGCTTGAAAATATGAAACTTATTTGAAGTCATTGTGAGGTAGTGTAGATTCAAATTTCTTCAAATCATGACCCCAGGGGGTAGGGTGGGGCCACAATAGGGTGGGGCCACAAATTTTACATAGGAATACATAGGAAAAATCTTTAAAAACCTTCGTCTCAAGAACAGCAAAACTGTGATTAGTCATATTTATAAGGAAGTATCCTCAGGAAGTGTAGAATCAAATTTGTTCAAATCATATCCCCCGGGGGTAGTCATAGTGATATGGAAGCATCCTCAGGTAGTATAGAATCAAGTTTGTTCAAATCAAGACCCCCGGGGGTAGGGTGGGACCACAATGGGTGATCAAAGTTTTACATAGGAATACAGAGGAAAAAAATCTTTTAAAATCTTCTTCTCAAGAACAGCAACGCCATGATTTGCCCTATTCATATGGAAGCATCCTCAAGTAGTGTAGATTTAAGTTTGTTCAAATCAAGACCCTCGGGGGTAGGGTGGGATCATAATGGATAATGTAAGATAATGTAGATTCAAATCCGTTGAAATCGTGACCCCCCAGGAGAATAGAGAGGCCTTACAGGGTCTCATACATGTAATTACACAAAGGAATATTAAGGATATATCAATATTTTTTTTTCTTAAGGATCAGTGATACTCTAATAAGAGAGATAACTCTTAATTGGATAAATGTTTATAATTTCATAATAAATTTGTCAAGTTTAAATGCCTTTTTGTCCAATTTTGCCCCGCAAGCTATTCTAAAATTGGATGCATTTTACTTATAAAATATTTTTTTTCATTTGGAAAATCATGAGCGTTAGAGAAACATTTCAATTGAGTGAACAAAGGGATTATGAACCTCAAGAACAGCAAAGCTACTATGTTTCATAATAGTTCAAAAGCATCCTTGGGAAGTGTAGATTCAAGTTTGTTCAAATCATACCCCCCCTCCCCCAACCACTTATATATTTTAACTTTTCAGTACTGAACTTTTCTCTGCTTTTTCCTAATCAAAGTGATCAGGTGAGCGATGTGGCCCCTGGGCCTCTTATTAATGGGATGATGGTGACTGTGATGGGGGGGTAAGGGGCTGAATGAAAAGAAAATGACCTTTTTAAAGCAACAATATACTGTTTACCGTGATGGATTATAAAATTAATACATTACATATCGTTTTGCAATTACCTCAAAGAAGATTAAATCCGTCATTTTTTCATGATGTTACAGTTGAGCAATATCTAGTCTATCTAACTTCCCATGTTCCAGGCCGACAATGTTACTATAATGCGGTGACTGTTTCCGTACGTATTAAGCATTGGTTTGAAACTTCTATGTATGTCATCAAACACTTAGTTTTTATATTCCACCCATATATAATTTGATAAGATAAATGTTTTATGAAAAACGTAGTATCTTTGTATATTACCACCTATTTTCTCTGAAATTCTTTACACATAGTCGTTCTCCCGAGATGACGAATTTATATCTGCTCAATTTCCGGTGCCTGAAGGGGCCATAGATCTTGTTCGTCTGCTTGTTGATCATGAGTCAACATTCCTTATTTCATTGAACCCTTTATCAGAGCTTAAAGAGGTAATGACAAAAACAAAATCTTTGGAACAACATTGCAATCTTTTTGAATGAAGTCGATCTTTTGCATATTCATTGGTCGTCATTGTGCTGAAAATACAATTTTTATATTATGAAATTTTAAACTTGGTTTTTGTTTAAGCTACAAAGCTGGGTTGATGAAAAAGTCAATCCTCTCAAACTTGGTCCTTATACAATCACTAAGGGTACACAAGAAGTGGTGTCCGGGGAGATAAGAAAGACATATATAACAATTACAACAAAAGAGGTCAGTTGTTTTTGATAGACAAAAAATGCCATATTTTTCACAATGTTGAATATTGTAATATTTTCATAGAACGTCTACACATGCTGTATTGAAAAAAAAAATCATAGTATCGGTTTCAGAGTCTTTTCATGAATTAAAATTGTAAATACTTGCATTTAAATTAAATGTGTGCTTATATTTAAAAAAACAAACTATTTTTTCTTCTTCAACTTGTACCTACATTCCTCCTGGAAATAAGGAAACTAGTGATGTCGAGATACTTGAATGCCTGAATTGGAGTTTCAATGATACACTACCGATGGAAACTTCTACTTTGACAAACCTCATCAAACAGTTCAGACTCTATCGGAAACATCAACCAAACGGACATGTAACTGTGCTATCAAAGTATGCACTTATTTTTTTTTATTCAAAGCCACATCTATTACTTTTGTTTGAATAGCTATTCGTAGTTAGAGAAAAGAGGAGAATTGTATGTTTTGTTCAATAAAATGTAATTTGGGAATTTAATCAGTAGTATAGCTACCATTTAATAATCTTTTCCAAGTAAAGATTTTACATAGTAACATTTCTGTTTGCGAGAATTAGTGTATTGATATAAGACTAGTGACTCATATTTTCACATATATTGTAACATTTGTTTTGTTTGTTTGCTTGGTTGTTTAACGTCCCTTCGAGAATTGCTCACTCAGATTGAGACGCCACTACCTGCCGGTGGAGGGCTGAAAATTCAAATTTTGAATTGTACTCGGCATTTATGGCTTTTGAGCAGTAAAGGATCTTTCTCGTGCCAGCACCTACTGCGACAAGGAACCTCTGATTATTCAGTCTCATCCGAAAGACCAGTCTCCATGTCGCACAGTGGCTTCGAACCCGCGACGTAAGGATCAACTCCTTACGCCGCAACTCTAGAGCAAACGCTCTAACTACTATGCCGCGAGGGCGACTTGTATAACTAGTAAATTTGCTTAAGTCTCTAAAAATCACTTTGATATCCAAGATATGCTTCCAGTCAGTATGGTGGGTGAAACAGTTCTAACTTGCATTTTGGAAAAAAAAACAAAAAACTTTTTATCCAATGAAGTATCAATAAGTGAAAAAGAAATTAAAATTAATTAATTAAAATTAACTTGACGTCATTCAAGATATTATAAGAAATAAATGGTGGTGGCATCACGATAACGAAGAAACGTATGAAAATACTTTAGCTACTTTCATTAAATTTATCAATGTCCAGTCTCATTTTTTCACTTAAATGGTAATTACTTGTATTGATTGAATACAGTTTGTACAGTTTAACATACAGGATCAGCAAAACTTGGAAAATGTAATCTTGAAGTGAATTAAAAAAATCATTCTTTTGTCCCTTAGGTCAGAAAATATAAAATTAAAATGGACATGGTGTGGTTTATTATCCATAAAATTTCTGTGACCTATCATATTCTACCAACAAACACATTCAAATGTTAAAATTACTCTGCTCGAGTAATTTGCAGCGATTTGACACTACCAACACAGAGATGTGTAATAGCATTTATATATCACTATGATTCGATGACTGGAAAGCTTATATGAATTTTATTTTATTTTATTGTATTATTCATAAAAACTGACATTAGTTGAAACAAAAGTACCAACGGTTTCAAATAAACTTAAAACACATATTTCAAAGAAATTGTAAAACATGCTCTATATATTCTATCAAAGAGATGGAGCGACCTGCTGCGGAGTGTTTTGCGCTGTGTATAACGCCATAGAACAGCTACAACAGGACGACGAGGTGGACATATTTACTATAGTCCAGCAGCTGCAGTGCAGAAGACCAGAGATGATATCTACTAAGGTACGTTTTAATGCATTTTATTATAGTGTTTCCATAGGAAAAATTTTACTCTTAGTTCCATATAAAGAGTTAATATGACTTTATTTAATAACTGATAAAAGGTATGAAAGTAATTTGCATAAATAAAATATTAACATTTGTTTGTCATTGTCAAATCAAATATTTAAAAAAAAAATGGTATGAGATACGAAAAAAAGGCTTTACATTTTCAAAGAGTAACGTCGAAGATATACATATGATTTCATTTCTTGTATTTCAGGATGAATATGAATTTTGTTTCAAAGTAGTTTCTGATTTTCTGAATACCGAGAGTGTTTATGCCAACACATGACAGATTCATCTTTTACGATATGATCATATTTTATGACATCATGATATTTAAAAACAATTATTCCGACTAGTCCTTGTAAGCGGTATTAATAGCACAGTCAATATTAAGTGTAAACATATATTTAACCTTTAAAAGTGCTGCACTATATATTTTTATTTTAGAGATACTTACGTCTATGTGTTGTTTTTAAAATATTTGGATTATTGAGTACTTATACGTTAAATCAAAGCTCTCTTCTAAAGGTAATTATAGTCATGTGATGAATAAAAATATATTTCCTTTTTTTATTTACACTTCTAACTGCACCTGAGTCAAGGTCTAGGTACAGGCAATCTTTTCTGAAAAAGGTGCTTCCGGCGTCTGACTGTAGTATGTCTTCTGTCGTCTGCAAACTTGTAACATTTAAAATATCTTCTTAAGAACAACGGGGTCAAATTCTGCAAATTTAAAAATAATCGTTATAATCCTTGGGTAAAGGGATTTCAGATTTGTTTTAATGAGGGTCCAACTTTATTCAAGGCAGATGATCAATATTTTCTTTTTACATTTTTAACAGTGAAATACTGTGATTTATTTATTAATTAAAAGTGATATTCTATCACAGTGTGAAAGGATACCAAAGTGATATTCTCTCACAGTTTGAAAGGATATAAAAGTAAGTAACAAATAATTTCTGGCCTGTAATAAGAGATATATAGTAACTAAACAATCCTGATATAGTCTAAAACTGCCATTTTCCTCCCAAATATGTTGCCAAAATCCATATTATGTACAATGTTTTCAATCTCACAACTGCTAAGCTATGCATATGACGTCTCAACTCTCAACTATGTTGTCACATCCTATGACTTGAGTTATGAAAAGGCAGAGGCAAAAGGAAAATCAAAGAATATGTAATAAACAGAAAATTCAAATTTGTGTAGCTGGATATGGAATTTATTTCACTCATGAGACAGGATTTTTGTATATTTTCACTTGTGCTTCACACTCGTGAAAATTTCAAAAAATCCTGTCCCACTCGTGAAATAAATTCCATATCTAACTACAAAACATTGAATATCCTCTATAAATTCGGTGCAATAACTTAAAAATGTTCTTCTCAAGAACTTCAGGGACAGATTGAAAAAGATGAAATTTATGTCCTCTTTACATAATTTTTCAAATCATAGCCCCTGTAAGAAAGATGGGGCAGCAACAAGGGATAATTTTTTCACATGGGAATAAAAAGGAAAACATTTTAAAATATTTGTCACTTAAAAACAACAGGACCAAGCTTCTTCAGATGCCGCAGTTTTTTCCCAAATCATGATCTCGGGGTCACAATATGGAACCAAATGTTTTTACATGGGAATATTTATAGGGAATCTTTATAAGTCTTTTTGGTTCAGGAAATGTTGGGGCGTGCATACTTTTTTATGGAATCATCAAAAGTGTTGACTCAAATTTGTTCAAATCTTGTCCTCCAGAGGTAGGATAAGGCATCAGTAGATGAACAAATTTGTATATGGGAATATATAGAAATATCTTTTAAAATCTTCTCAACAACAGCAGGACAATTAATAGTGCAAGGTGCAAGCATCATTCGATTAATTACACCGACGGGTAGCTTTAGAGTGTGGACACAATGAGGGATCATTATTTTACGCGGAAATATAAACAAAATACATCTTAAAAACTCAAATGAATAAAAAAAAAAGTGCAACACTAATTGCTTTTACATGCAAACATTCCAAAGTTTTGTGAATTCAGTGTGTTTTTATGTACTATGAACATTGGGGTTAGATGGGGCTAAAACTGAGTATTAAAATTTTCCTAATACTTGGTGTATACAAAGAAAAAACAATTCAAAAATTAAGGAACACCAAAACCATGTACACGTAATCATGTTGAAATTGGAGAACCTTCATGATATGATAATGCAAGCTCCATTATGTCATAATCACTCGGGCTAGAGTATTAGGTCAGAATTTTTCATGTGAACTAAAAGGAAAAGGAAATTTCAAATCTGATGAAGAACAGCAGGGCTCAGGTGAGCGTTGTAGTCCACAGACCTTTTGTTGTTTTATAAGGATGTATCAAATTTCTTGAGCAAAAAACTGAAGCTCATTTTAAGATGAAGCTTATTTTAATATATCGATTATAAATTAGCTTAGGCCAATTTAAGAATAATGTTTGTTGCCCTCTCCCGACTAGGTCTGGAAATATTGGGTGAGAAATATAGGTGAGATTTTTTTCTCAGAAAATGTCAATTTAAATGTTTTCCAGAGTACCAAATCAGTAATTGTTTCCTGGAGGTTAAAAAAGTTTTGAATAGGCCATTTTAGCCAGTCGGTCGGGAGAGGGCAACCAAACATTTTTTTTTAAAGACGGCCTTATTATCTACTGTCTGTAAATATATTCTTTTCAAATTACCTCTTTGAAGACTTTTTATCGTAACAATTATATTTCTTTTGAAAAATGGAGCATTTTTATTTCATCTTTATTCTTTAGACATAATATCTAATTAGTTTTTCTATGTCTTCACTAGATTGATATCAAATGTTTTTGGAATCTTGGGAAAAAACAAAGTTTTTTAATCATGTTTTTCTAATGATTTTTCTTTTTTTTTTCCCTTCAATTTGCTGTCATCATTTCTTTCATTTACATATTAATTAAGAATAAAATAATGCATTTGCTTTGTGTTTATATTATAATTTATATACACAATTTTCGTCAACTCTGACCGCCCAGGTAAACTGTAAATCTTATACTGAACAAATTTTTTGCACCACATGCGCATTTGAACAAATCATGTTTCTTCAGTGATGCGCACTCCGAGACATTGGAGATCCGAAATATTTAAATTTAAAAAAAAAAAAAAAAATGAAGAGCTGAAAAAGTGAGGTACCAAAGACTAGATCCAAATAGGTCAAAGTATCACAGCTATGCATGAGGGAGATAATCCTTAATTTTGAAATAAATTTCTAAATTTATTATTATTATCATTATTATAAGCAACAGCAGCAGAAGCAGTAGTAGAAGTAGTATTTTTTTATTTATCTATTTATGCAGTTATTTATTTATAGATGATTTATTAATTATCGTCTTTCCTTGAAATAGTCAAATGCAGCAAATACAATAATATTTTGTCGGAAAATTTTTGCATTCAATCATGAAAATAGGGGAAATTACTGAAAAAAAAATGACATTATGATTGATCAGAAATTAAAAAGAAAATATAAAAAGAAGATTGCTGATAGGATGTTTTTGGTTAACCATCTAAAGATCAGAATCTTGTGATAGTTGGATACAAATGAAAAAAAAGGGGAACAATTTAAAAAAAAAAAACAGAGTGGGATCAAGTACTCGAGAGGAGAAAGTATCATATCATTTCAAGACAATTCCAATATAAGTTCACATGTATTTATTTTATGCTTAACATATAAAAATATTTCTAGAGAATTGAAGAAGTGGGTCAGTACCAGTAGGTAAGCATATTCCTAGATGGCGAAAACCTTCGGAAATTCCATTGCTAGATATACATGTATCTATATATCCTTTATTTATGTTGGTGAATCAGAATGATTTGAAGATATATTGAGTCTGTAAACCTAGCCTTATGCAGAATAATCTAGAAATGCAAAGTAAATGATCTTTTCCGCGTAAATGGAATCCCTAATGATATGTGTGCCGACATAATTAGATATAGTACATGCTTACAAGGGCATTGTACATATATGTACATGTATCAACCACAGAACTTTGCAAAATGCATGACGAGTTTAAACGGGACTGTTGATGTCCTTGTTTCATCAACTTCGTATGCCTTTCGTTAATGAATTTCTTTTCGCATTACGTAAGATTCTGAGCTACCCTTTGTTCTTTTCTATCATTTCCGTTCATTGGCCGTCTTCCTTGAATCAGTTGAAAATAAACAACATGAATATGATTATGGGTAACTAGGTATTACGCAGGAGATATGACAAAGAGCCGTGCAATCAAATTGTATTGGTGGAGCTTATAACTGCGCTTCTCCGCATCGTCTATAGCCTATTACCAAGAAATCTAAAAATAATTGTTCAACTGTCTGCAGTCCTAATTATAGACAAGAAACTTCTACTGTAAAATAATTACATTTAGTCGTTATGTCCTTGATGTCAGGGACTGTATGTGTGAAGTTTCTCTCTGAATAAATAGTTCACAAATTTAGATCTATTTATATATAACTATACGTATTTCGTGTTTTTGCTCTTCTTTGAATAATCTCCTCTCATAAACCAATCAGCTTTTAAAAGAATGGCCAATAAGCAAGGACAAGGCCGATTGGATGAAAAGAAAAAAGAATCAGTTAACTGATGAGTACTATTTGTCAGTATTCTGCTTCGTTTCAAAACGGACGTAGAGCATGCTTTTGCTTTTCGAAACAAGTTATATCGAATAATTATAATCTGTTTGTGTCAGAAAAACCACTTTACAACAACACATGTACATTAATATTTTTTTTTTATTTGGTATAAAACAAAGACTGAACAATTGGTATGAAACAAGACAGCCAAAACACGACCCAATGAAAGGATATTCTAGTATATCTTAGAGCCTCAGTCAGATTTCCCGGCCGGTGGCCGTAGACCGGTGGTAATCGATGGTGTAAGCGATGCCCCAACATCGGTCCCCATCGGCCAAGTAGTCCTAAATATCTTTCACAGCAACAAGAATACCCCCACCAATGATCGTACAGCGAGTGAATCATTTTTGACCGGCGTGGCACAGATTACCGGCCGGACATCGACCGGACATCGGATAGTTTTCCCCGTTCATCCAACAACTCTGCCGGTGACGCTAAATATTGGTGAACATCGTTCGTACATCGGTCGACTATGGGCCAGTGTTTGGTCGAACATCGACCGATGATCGGCCGTTGTCTATTGCCGACCACTCACCCCCAATGACCTCAGAATCACCGGACACTGGACGATGCTCGGCCATACATCGGCAGATCCTTGAAAGATGTGTTAATGATGGGTTGCCGATGACGAGCGATGTGGGGCATCGGTGGGGACATCGCTGATTTTTAACTACAACTTATTTTCTCCTGATGACCCCCACTGATTCGCCTGATGGCCTCAGTC